TACTTGAGGATGGATTCACTATGTTTCGGTAAGTATTCATATAAAACTATATATGTACTACGTCATATGTATGTATACATACGTAGGTAATAAAAAATGCAATTTTGTCATCATGTAAAAGTATTTCTCCTTCCTTCTTCTTGTAGTCCTGAACAAGAGTTTGCGAAACTAATTTCCGGTGCTGTCTGTAATCTGCTAAACGGTAATGAAAACGGTAGCGCTGGCGGCACAACACCTGGGGCTGTGGGCGGCTGCGAATGGCGCATAACGACTGTCAACAAGGATTTCAGTGTATGTCCAACATATGGCACAACACTTGTTGTGCCCAAATCTATTACTGATGAACAAATTGTGCAATCGGCTGCGTTCAGGGATGGCGGCAGATTTCCGGTGCTAAGTTATAGGCATGAAAATGGGGTGAGTAAGTTGTGTAGTTTGTTGATTTCCCATACAATAGAGGTTTGAAAATAAACTGTGTGCATATCGTTCTAAAATTGCAGAAATGTATCTGTACATACACGTGTGCATATGTAGGTGAAATCAATATCAAGCCCAAAGCAGTGGTTCCGTTGCTATCAATTACATTGTGCAGTATATTTAATCTCTTATGCATATGTAAATAAGTGTGTAATTTTTAAATGAAAGTACAAAACCGCGTATCAACAAAATGCAAAATCGCATATGTGAGGTTGCATAAATTATTTTCTTGAGAGTAAAAACACTCCTATTTCAAAATGGATTTCTTTTTTTATAAAGCAATCGCATTTCTGTATAGTATATTTCAGGGCGAATGGATAAGGATTGAGCCAAGAGCTTGTGTGAGCAAACCCAATTTTTAGCAGCAAATGTCAGTTACGCGGTTTTACAGAATGACGATACGCGGTTTTGTACTTTAAACGACGATATGCTTCTGTGGGAGTAATGCGACCATATAGCAAATACTGGTCCCCGAAGGTTATAATTTCTTCTGATAAAAAGTGAGATTGCAATTTTCTGTCAAGAAAAAACGCTCTTGGCGAATATATATATATATACTAACTCGAACTCGAACTTTTTAGAAGATAATTTTCTATACATCACCTCTCTCCTTTAAATCTATAGGCTACATTAATGCGCAGCGCACAACCACTCTCCATGCAAGGTATTAAACGTTGCAGGGCCGACGAGGCGATACTTAACGTGGTGCTGGGACGCAGTAAAAAGGGATTCATCGTCGATACTTGGGGTAAGGGTAAATCGAATACCGAAACAGACCAACACTACTCGCAGTGGAAGAAAGTGAATCGCGCCATTGGCAATGTCTCAACACCATCAGCGATTTTGGATAGTTTCGCCAAACTAATTGAAGGTAGCAACGATATCTTAAGATTCTCAAAACTGTAGCTTTAAATTTGCATTCCTCGTTTAGCTTGCAATGATATAACATGCTCGGCGGACAAATGGATATCACGTTTGGAAGCAAGTGGTTGGTTGAACCTTGTCCTGAATTCGCTAAATGCCGCATGTGTGGTAGCACAATGCCTCGATCAAGAGGGTAGTCCTGTGCTGGTGCATGGCTCTAAAGGTTTGGATTCCGCGCTGATTGTGACGTCACTAGTGCAGATTATACTTAATCCTGATTGTCGCACTGTACGCGGGTAAAGTTTATACTTTTTTTAACGTACTATACTCAAGACTTAAATTGATTTTCCTAATTAGAATACAAGCATTAATTGAGCGTGA